GCAGGATGGGGTTCCACCCCACAGGGGATCCCAGGCCCCGCTTTTGGGACGCCCAGGGCTCATCTTTCAGTGCCCTTGACCCCGTCCACCACCTGCCACAAGGTCTCCCCGGGTCACCGGTCCTCTGTCCAGATCCACCCACAGGCCCCGGTGCCCGCCCTGGCGCTGAGCTGCCCCTCCCAGGCACGCTCCACCCGCCAGCCACGCTGTTCCTTGGCCTGGCCCCTTCCCCAGCGGTGCCCCCTGCAGAGGGGCTCGGAGCAAGCTCCCTGGCCGCTGGGACCCCAGGCCCCTAGCTCTGCAGCGACAGGGGCTGAGGAGGGGACTGCTGAGGTAGCGGGCAGGGCTGATCACAGCGACCGCATGTGAGGCCCTGCTGAGGGCAGTGTGGATGCGTCCAGCCCTGTCCCCTCTGGGCGGGCCTGTGCCCTGAAGGCCCCCCTCCCCGCGCCTTCAGTTCCGCTGGACGTGAGCCTGGAAGGAGAGAGGAGACCAGCTTCTCTGCAGCCGCTCAGAGGCTCCAGGCAGGAAGGGTGGTCTTGGGAGGGTGGAAAGAGGCGGCCCAGCTGCAGGGGCGCCTGGAGCGGGAGAGGGAGGGTGGAGGCGACGGAGCCCCCCCAGAAGGGAAGACCCCAGGAGACTCCAGACACCGGCTGCAGCTGCAGAAAGCCGAGCGGTGGGAAAGCCGCAGGGACCCAGGGCCCTGGACTGGGAGATGGGACGCTGGGGCCGCAGGCTTGCTGGGCGCCGGGCACGGCCAGCAGATGGCAGGGCGAGGAGCCTCAAAGCCACCGGGGCCAGTTCCCACTGGGTGACGAATTCCCTGCAGGGCAGCCCAGCCTGTGCCCAGGGAGAGCTTGGAACCTCTGGTGACAGCACTGAGGTCAGGTCACAGGCTGGGGCACCGTCTGGGGACCAGAGTTTAAAGGGAAAAGATTGGCGAGTGCAGGGGAGGAGAGCTTTCCATCAAAGCTGTTCGCTCCAGCTTCTGACTGGAACGGAGAGGCCACGGAAGCGTCGGCGTCGCCGCCACAGCAGCGGGGACCGTCACAGGAGCTCAGGCTCTGCCACGCTCCAAAGCACGGCCCCGGGTCCTGTGAACACGCAGCCCCGTGAGGCTGGG